TATGCCTAAAAATTTCATTTTATACTTGTTGAATAGCCCATAAAATTTGCTACAAGTTACAAAAGGGCTCATCTTTCTAAAAAATTTATCGGTGTCGGCATTCAAGCTTAAATAACTAGCATACCAAAAATAGCCTAAAAATGCACTATGTATTATCGGTAAGAGGTTATTCTAGCTTGAGTATTTACCGGATAAATTTTTGGGGGTGTCGAGGTTTTTTGGAACGGAGTTTATAAGTTATTCATTTTATTTTCTATGGAAAAACTAACAAATATATTATCCGAGAAAAGCAGTTATTTCCAGCTGAGGAATTGATTTATATTTTTTATCAGAAAAATTATCCGGCATTTAGTTATACCATTTGCGATATTATCATATTAATTGAGAATAATACAATTTTCTAACTAATTTATCACAAGAGAATTCTAACTAACAAAAATAAATGTGAAAATTAAAATAAATAAAAATTCAGAAAATTAAAAACTAGTACATATTTTGCTAGAAAGTAAAGAAAATTAAAGGGATTTTGGGATTTGCTCTCCCTCTAAACTACGGGCTGAACTTTTTCACCAGCATTGAGCCACGAATATCGGGCATGAATTTTTGGGTTATCGTTGAAATAGAAATTTTAAAGGTATAGAAAGGCGACAGAATGTTAATTGAAAAAATGAAGGGCAAATTATGACAAAACTCTAAAAATGAGCACAATAACTATGAAAATAATCGGGAACTCCTGAGCTTGTTTTTAATATAAAATAATTAACTCTGGTTGGAGATGTTCTGTTGAAATGATGGGGAAAACTGCTAACAGACCTTACTAATTTACAATTCTTATTCCAGTTTTGATACTTTCAATCTAGAACAATCAGTTGAGAGGGTAATAATATCCTTCTTGGAATTGAATTCCTAATGAGGTTTTGTCATAATTTCGTGTGAGCCAAACACTTCAGGACAGACATTTCCTGACGGACATCGGCATTTAAGGACAGACATTTAAGGATTCACATATCAGTACGGACATTTCAGGATTATCATTTACCCATAGACTGTCCTTAAGTTTTTTCTCAACCACTCCAATTCTTTCTAAGATGACTAAATATTTAATTATTTTATTCATCGGAAGAGATGAATGTCAATCCTTATAATAGTAAAGTTTAATGTGGACTCGAACGTTGGGTCTCCGGTTCCCGCAAGCGGGAACCGGAGACGCGTTCGAGCGTCTTTTTTCCTAGATTAAACCTCTACTTTTCTTTTTAACAAATATTTATTCTTTTGGGAGTTTTTGGATTAAAAAATATAAGAATGAATTAAAGAAATCGTGGGTGAGGAAAAAGTGTTTAGTGACAGCTGTTCTTTTTCCTATCACATTCCCCTCCTCCCTACAAGTTCATCCTTGAACTTTTAAAGTTTAAATATGTTTGGATAGCTGTAAGGCGAACTTGGAGGCGGAGGGCCCATCAAAATAACATTAAAATTTTGGCTTAAAATTAATTATATTATTTATTTTTATTTTTAATCAATTTTTTCTTTCTTTTTCATCTTTTATTTATTTTTTCTTTCTTTTGTATTTTTGAGTTAGTAAATTTTTTAGTACACTCCTGATAAGCACCCCTCTATTTGATTTTTGGTAATTCCACGTATTCCATTGCTGTAAACATTGGTAAAATATCTTCTCCCAACTGAATTGTTTTATTTTTAAAATTTAATTTGATTTCCTCCTTCTCTTCCATTAAGTCTGTTCCAATTACTAAACCTCCAGGACATGATTTATCCTCTGATACCAAGAATGGCCATCTCATTGTTGATCCTCCAATTTCAATAGTTACCATTGCAGAACCTAAAAATGTAATTGGTGTTGAATTTGCAGCCCACGCCATTGGTACATCTTTCGAGTTTATTTTTAAACCACATTTTGAAGCAACTGATTCTCCACAATAAGATATATCAGCGCCACAATCAATGAGTGCTTTTTGAATTTTTCCTCCAAATAATACTTCGACATAGCATCTTTTTCTACGTTTTACAGAGCAAATAGAAGGAATATAATCCAGAATGTAAGCCTTTTCTTCCAGATCATTTAAAGTTGGGGCTGAAGGTTTGGGTTTCAGTTCTTCCATTTCTATAGCATTAACTTTAATTTCTTTTCTTTCACTGTTGTCATCTTTTCCTCCAACGAAAAATTTAATAACCGTTCTTCCAATCATTATTCCTTTCCAAATAAGCGAGAATAATGCGCGAAATTTCCAAAATAAATAAGTAATTACTAAGAGAGCTGACAAAATTAGAAACGCCATTAAAATCCAATATAGTCTCTGCATAAATGACCACTTATCCTCAATAAATTCCTTTGCTTCACTTATTATTTCACCTCCTTTTTCTTTTATATCCTTAGCAACCTCTTTCCCTTTCTCAATACCAAACTCTAGATTTTCCTTTAAATTCTCAAAAACTTCGCCAGTAACATTACTTCCTCTTTCTTTTAATATTTTTGGTAAGCCAAATATTTCTGAGAGTACATCCTCAACCTCTGGCTGTTTAATATCTTCCGGCAATGTCATAGATTGGTGAATTAAATCTGAAAATTTTTCTATGTCTTTCACCTCTGCTTTCTCCTCCTCAAATTTATTTCCAGCTTTAAAAAGAATCCCTGTCTTTACATCAATTATGGGTTTAATTTTTAATGAATGTTGTTCCTGATCAAAATTTAATAACTTTGTTTTATTTAATATAATTGGTTTTTCCTCGCAAGATTTTGTTTTAGACTCCAATAACAAATCAGGTCTTCCTGGTGCGGCAAATAATAATTTGCCTCTTATTTTTACAGGAAGTAATTCATAACATTTATCTTCAACTTTCTGGTCCCATATTATTTCTTCAACATTGACCGGTGTACATAATCCTAAATTCCATTTTAATTTTATTCCATTCTCCAAAAATGCTATTAAATCTGTTCTTCCATAAAGGTATCTTGCTGCTTTGGTTGGATTAGTTTCAGCTATAATTTTAGCAATTTCCAATTGTTGATTCCTATTTTGACATGTAATTTTCCACTGTTCTCTCATTATTTGTTCTCGCGCTTGTGCTTCTTCCCATGATAAATAATTTAAACGACTTTTTTCGTGATTATCCTAATTTTATTATCTCGTTCTTTTTGTGCTTCCTCGGGATCAAACAATTCTCTTTTATTTAAAGGGGCAAAAGTCGGTAAAATTTTTAAATTTTCATCCCAATATCCAGGTTCTCCTTTTGGTCCAGGTGATCCATTCTTTCCATTAATACCAGGGCTTCCTTTGTCTCCTTTAGGTCCAATCGGACCCTGAGGTCCTTGTAAGCCATCCAGTCCATCTTTCCCATTCAGTCCGGGCAATCCTTCTTTTCCTGGCCTTCCATGTATTCCAATATCGCCTTTCTCGCCTTTAAGCCCTGGAGCAGCGTCCTGGCCCGCTGCTCCTTTTGATCCTCTCGGTCCCGTATATCCCATATCTCCTTTTTCTCCAGGGGCTCCTTTTATTCCTCTAGGTCCAGTAAATCCCATGTCTCCTTTTTCTCCGGGTGCTCCAGGTCTTCCATCTGGGCCCGGTATACCTCGATCTCCTTTTAAATAATTATTTTTAATTTGTTGTTGTACTGGGAGGTGATAATTTGGATAAATAGTAGGTGTTGTATACATTCCTTTATTATGAATAGGTGTTGTTGTTGTACTTAATATTGGCTTTTTTGTTGTTAATAATGGACGAGTTGTTGTTTTTATTGGTTTAGCAGTTGGTGGAATTGAGGTTGTTGTAGTAGTCGTAGTAGTAGTACGTCTAAAATTTTGTTTTTTCGTAACTTGCCTCTTTTGAATGATTCTTTCAGTTGTGTTTAAAATTAATATAAAAACGTCATTGTCCATTGGCCAAGCCTCCTCAGGAACACCTAATACCTCAGAATTTCTTGAAATATTTTCGGACGGCGCGAAAACATATTGTAATTCGTTAATTTTAACTAATCCATTTATAGAATTATTTTTGTAAAATATTTCTGCTTGTACTGGGCCAAATGAATAATGTGTATAAATATAATCTTCAGATGGAGCGTTCCAAACAATAACCGAAAATAATTTTTCTTTATCTGTAAAAGAACCATTTATAGTATGAGCCTCAACAGATTTCGAGACTCCAAAACTGGTCTCGAATCTTTTGTTCATTAATGCACCCTCTCCTTCTTCCAGAAAATAATGTCTATCCATAACACATTGCTGTCCAAACCACGCATATTTTAAGTCATTATAAAATTTTATTGACCATAACACTTCATTAATTCTTTTTAATTTTGTATTTTTATATAGATTCCAACAACTTTCAGGACTTAATGAAAACCTTTCTTTTTTAACTGGTAATTCTTCCCGATATAACAAAATAGCATTCGTACATTTAACATGCTTCTCCATCCAACATCGGTAAATCGGAAAATACCTTGGGACAAGTTTAGGCAAAAATAAAGTGACATTTTTAATTTCCATCTGATGAGTCAATGATAAAGTACAGTCCTGAGGAGATGGAAAGTCAATTGACTCACCAGATTTATCCTTTGGACAAATTTGGTATTGTCCACAAATTCCTTGGCAAAACATTAAAAGCATCATTATAGTAATATAAGGCATTGCAAGGGAATTAATTCGTGCTGAATTCGACGTTCCAGCTCCAAAATCTCTTGGATTATTTATAGGAATTTTGTTGGAGTTAAAAGATCCAGCTCCACGACGTTGTCCCCATCTTACAGTACCCCGACCTCGATTAACATTTGCTCCTCTCCAATTGTTATAATATTGAAAATTATTTCTATTATTAGAATATTGCTCTCGATTATAATTATTTCTTTGGTTCCAATTGCCCCATGTATTAAAATTTCCTCTCAAATTGTTATAATTTCCCCGCAAAGGTTGTGTTGGCATGCGATGATCAACTTGCTCCCATAGTTCATTTACCTGTGCTTTCACTGCGTTAACTTCAAGTATGGCCTTTTCAGATAACTTATTTTGATATGACCTCATTCTATCTTCTTTCAAAGAATTTTGCACCTCCTCAATCTGTTTGGCTTGGTTAATAGTGTCTTCTAATGTATCCGTTGTAATAAATGCCAATTTTTCCTTAATTTCCAATTTAATTCCATTTTTGAAATAGTCTTTAGCCAGATCATCTCTCCAATCTTTAATTCTCTGAGTTCGCGCCTCTTCTGTCTCAAGAACAACTTTTTTAAAGGAATTTTCTGGAAAAGCCTTGTTTATTAGACCGCGAATAACCTGCGCAAATTCAATTATAGATTCATTAGATTTTTGTTTTATGTTCGTCAACATCCTACGCGCTGATTCCTTTGTATTTAATTTCTTCAATTTTATTGCTAAGGCGTCTGTCAGCCCTTTCCAAGTATTTTTAGAGTCTGCGCCCAAAGAATCATATATCGCGCGAGCTTCCTCCAACAAATATAAAGGTAAAATTTGGGTGCAACGCGTCCCACTCCACTGATGCGCGGTGGCAATTTTATTGAATCTTCGAAGGTATGCCTCAAAATCCTCTATTCCCGAATAAAATTCTGGAAGAGGTAATCCCTCACGCATTCTATTTATTCCAAGTTTGGCAATTTCCTTTTCAAGTGCCGCGAGCTTTTGTTGTAATTCCCGTTCATTTAGTTGGCCTTTTCTTAACGGAGTTTTCTCTTCTTCATCGGCAGTGTGCAATTCATCATCAGTTCCAACTTCCTCCTCCATTTTATATTTAATTTTCCAAAAATAATTTAAAATAATTTGAATGGAGTATTCCAATTAGATATTTCCACTTTATTCAATAATTATAATTAATTCAATTAATAATTCGAAGCCTGTATTTAAATAGATTTAATTAAATAATTTTTATTTTATTATATGTTGTTAATTCTAAAATAAAATTTTTATGTTGTAACTGTTGTTCAAATAATGTGTTTCAATATAAGCTGTAGTTTAAAATATCATTTAACTGTTGTTAAATATGTTGGTGTTAGAATAATTAATTATATAAACAATTTAAGATCCAAAATCAACTTTATAAAATTAATCCAATAGTCACATCCAGAATAAATTCTAATTAAATCACTTCTTTTAATTAAAACTATTTATAGTTTTAATAAACCCGTGGTCTGACACCAGATAACTTCGGCCGTAGTTAAAAGGTGTAAGAGTCACGTTAATTAATCTTTTATTTTTGTTGCAACTCATTAATTTTATTTTTCTTTCCATATTTATTTTTGGGCCCATATGATTAACCAATTTTAGGTTTTGGTGTGATTTCCCTTTTTAGATTTATTGGTTGTTCTTTGGACTTCTTTTATATAATTTAATGTTTGTATTTTGTGTTATGTAATCCTGATTTATTAATGTTTAAATACTTCTGATTTTTGTTCTGGTTTCTGATAATTCTGATTTTTGTAATTTTCTGGTTTTTGTTTTCTTCTAGTTTTTGTAATTTTTGAATTTTTGTATTTTGTTTTAAATTAATTCCGATTTTTGTATATATTTTTTGAAAAATATATTTAATTAAATTATTTAACCACTGGCCTGAACTTTTTTTTAAAAAGAACACTGCCCGAAGCCTTTCTCCCTTTTGCTGGGATTCCATCAAGAATATCTGGTTCTAGTTCTGGAACTGGAATTAGTTCCAGAGAAATTTTGGAACTTTGACATCACTGATCTGTTGTCTTGTAAAATTGCCAACCAATTGTAACGAATATCCATTTTCATTAAATTTTAAAATTATCAATAAATTTGTTGACTTGATCCACTAATCTCTTCAACAACCAACCAACAAACAAGTAAATATTTTTTGAGTGGGAGTAATATACATCTGTTTGAAATAAAGGCAATAAAATTTTGAACCAGAAAAGAGCATTCAATAGATTTAAAATTAAATCAAGCCAAAATATATTTATTTAAAGTAGGCCATTGAAGAATTGTTGTAAAATAATAATTATATTAAAAATGTTGAAATTAGATAAGTTGAAATGAAAATTTAATAATTTGATATAAATATTAGTGTGTTGAATCCATTAGCGATACGGTGTTCTAGGACCTCCATATAATAGTAAAGTTTAATGTGGACTCGAACGTTGGGTCTCCGGTTCCCGCAAGCGGGAACCGGAGACGCGTTCGAGCGTCTTTTTTCCTAGATTAAACCTCTACTTTTCTTTTTAACAAATATTTATTCTTTTGGGAGTTTTTGGATTAAAAAATATAAGAATGAATTAAAGAAATCGTGGGTGAGGAAAAAGTGTTTAGTGACAGCTGTTCTTTTTCCTATCACAATCCTAAAATGTCAATCCTCAAATATCCGTCCTTTCAGGATTATAATATCTGCTCTGATATGATAATCCTGAAATGCCCACTCAAAAAATCATTTAAAAGTGTAAAGAAAGATGCCAGAAGTTTAATAATAAAAGATCACAGAAGAAGTTTCTTTGTTTTTTGTCAACATAAACTCGTAATCTTCTCATCTTCTTCCTTCCTTAAAATATAAATTAATATAAAATTAAATATTCAAATAATAATTATACCCGTCCTCAATTGTTGGAACCAGAGTCGCGATTTCCTGTCTTACGATCTCGCCGACTTTGATAATATCGACTTTGACGTTCAGCTTCTTTACGTTTAGATTCAGCAATTAGATGTTGCCATTCACGCTCAACTGTTTATATTTATTTTAATTAATCCTTGAAATAGTTTAAGTTTTTAATCTAATTTTATCTTAAATAAAATTAGCCCTTTATCGTTAACTAAGCTTAATGGTCCATATCAAGTTATTTATTTTCGGAGATGCATTAAATCCAGGGCTCGGATCGACAAAATGGCAATCATAAGTACAAAAATCTTGATTAAAAAGTACATTGGGAGAAAATTTGCAAATAAAAAGTACACTCCAAATTAAATTATGAAATATTTATTCGTCCTCAAATTTTTCATATTTCCCTCCTAAATGAATCTTTTCTAATAATTTCTTGTTTCCACTGAGCATTTTGTGCATTTCAATGCATGATATGTCAAAATTCGCTGACACAAGGAGTGAAGCACTGACAGTATTAACCTCCATTTTTCAGCGCCACAGGCGAAAATTTTTTTGAAATTTGGAGGTCCTTAAGCCAGATTTCTTCCATTTTTTGCGCCGCAGGCGAAAATTTTGAGAATCTTGGAGGTCCTTAAGCCAGATTTCTTCGTTTTTTTCAAAAATGTTGATAAAAAAGTACATACTTTCAAAAAAGTACAAATTCAATTTCTTAAGTACGGAGGTCGATAAAAAAGTACAATACTTTTAAAAAAGTACGAATCCGAGCCCTGATTAAATCCAATTGATTACCTTCTTCTAGATGATTGTATATTTTCTGCTTATCTTCCATAATTTTCAATTTCTCGTTTTGTATTTCTTGAAGTCGTGTAACTAGTTGATCTATTTCTGCAGATATTTTTTCTAATGTCGTCGTTGTTGTCTAAAAAAGTAGATACAATATTAGATCGCGTTTTATTATAAAATACTCCTTAATTTTTATTTTCATCTCTATTTTACATAACATTTTAATCTATCGAATAGCTGATTTTTCTGAGAGAATCTCCCAATAAAATCAATACCGATTTATTATTTTTTGAAAAAAATATATTTTAGATAAAAATTTTATGTTACCAAATTATCGAATGCAGCTTTGTGCCTGTTTTTAATTTCTTGACTAACATACTCAGATTCAGCTTGTAACTCGTTATACTTAAGATTGAAATTCTGATATTGTTTTTCAATAGTGTCAATTAATTGCATATTTCCTTGGTTTTCTTTATTATTAAAAATAAGTTTTATTTTTATATTCATAAATTATTTAATTATGTAAATAAATGAAAATAAGCATTACCTAGCCGGCGAGGTATTTTTTCTGGATGAGGTTTAGTATTGCCATGAACTTGAAGCAATTGACGAATTTTGTCGTCTAGCTATAAAACGTTTATATTTTTATTTTCATAAAATAATACAAACATTCATTGGTTGCTGTGGTCCTGAGCCTGAAGGGCCTGCTCCTGGATGCATCCCTCCTGAATGAGATCCCGAACCACCTTCATAATTCATCCCTCGTGGTTGAGATCCTGTTCCTTTTCCTGGATACATTCCAAATAATAATGGAAAGAAGGAAAGAAAACAAAGGTTTAAAAGAATTAAATTGGAAATTTTCATCTTTAAATTTATTAAAAGATTTATGGCTAAATATCCTATCCGATTCAGAAGGTATCCAATGCTATCATAAACATAAAATTGTAACTAAGTCTATATAATGTCTTCTTATAAGAATTGGCTTTAATTATTTTTTTAAAGTTTTGAAAGAGGGATCTTATTGAAAATCTTTAAATTTTATTATATGAATAAAACAGTCAATATACTATGTCTTTTAAAGGCACTCAGACGCGCCTATAACTACAGTGTTTAACTCACTCAGCGAACGCTTTAGATTTTTTTACCTTTCCATTAAATGGATTTTTAAATTTTATTTTTTTGCACTCGGGAAATGGACATTTGTCTCATGAGCGTATAAGCATCCCAACAGAGTTTAGAGAGAGAGACACTTATATTCAGGCGGGATGATTAATGCTTAACGATTAAAATTTATTGTACGCATGGCTTTAACACGTACCCTCTTTTATTTTTACTTACAAGCAATAGTACTTTTCAATTTATTGATTGACAAATTTAAATGCACTTTTGTTTTTAATTAAAATTATAAATTGATTTTATATTTCATAATATAGTCTTTTTTTAATTTAATTAAATCCAAAGTTGACGGTTAATTCAAGAATGTTAGAAAGAAAATTTTTAAATCCGCATATTAAAGCAAAGAGTATCTTTTCAGAATCTTGCTGACATGAGACCATAGTTTGGAGTCTTGTTCGGACAATGCTTAAGTTGAAAATGCGTCAAAATATTACTTTTCTCAAAATTCTCGATTTAATTTAAAATAAGACTTTGAGAAGACAGAATGACCAAATATTATTATTTTAGTGCTAAAATAAAATTGAATAAAAATTCAGATTAAAATCTAATACATATTTGCTAGAAAGTATAGAAATTTATAGGGATTTTGGGACTTAACTCTCTCTAAACTACGGCTTGGACTTTACTAGTAATGAGCCATGAATATCGGGTACGAATTTTTGGGTTATCGTTCAAAAAGCTTTAAATGTATAGAAAGGCGACAGAATGTTAATTGAAGAAATGAAAGGATAATTATGACAAAACTCTAAAAATGAGCACAATACTTATAGAAATAATCGGGAAACCCCTGAGCTTGCTTCTAATATAAAATAATTAACTCTTATTGGAGATGTTCTGTTCGGCCGTAGAGCCAAAACTTTTATTTAGAATAATAAAACACCAAAATAAATAGCAACCGCTTAGGTAAATAATTAAATAAAAAAAGAAAGTTCTACTAGAGGTTGTCGTTCTATTTCTCAGCCAAAAATATTTAGAAC